GTCTTCAAAGAAGAACAAGAAAGTCACGTTGCCTCTTAAAAAAGCAGCTTTGGGACTTTACATCTAAGGAATTTATCATGTGAAATGTATGTATCAGTAGATGTATGTCATTTATTATATGTAAACGTAAACCTTTTAATTGGTGGCCCCATATCAGCAGCTATTCCCACATCCTGTATAAATCAGGCTGAGAAATGATGTAGTTCAGACTTAGGCAACTTGGTGGCTTCCAGATGTGTCAACTTCTTTCCCATTCAGCAATGTAGCATCTGGCAACTGGGATTTAGGAGATATTGCCTAAATATGTATAAAGCCTTTCATGTACCATCATCTCAATAATCCTTCCCATAATCCTATGACGCATATCAAGCAGATGTTCTCCAGATGTTTGGGTCTATAGCTTCCACAGTCCCCTAGCACTCTTCATGCTAAATGAGAAGGGAATTAAAATTCAACATATCTGGAAAGCACCAGCATGCCTACTTATGAAATATGTCACTGCTAGGCCTGATTTATAGAGGATGTGGGAATAGTTGCTCATACAGACCCACCAGTTGAAAGCTTATTGGGCCTATGTTTGCAGACAATAAATGTCATTTATCCATTGATGCACACATTTCATACGATATCTTCCATATGTTCATAACCTGATGCAAAACCTAGCTCTCAGGCAGTTGATATTAAAAAAAAAAAAACAATGATGAGCATCAGGCCACTAAGATAAAAATATGAAATTCATTTTTCCATTGCACTTTAAAACACTCATCCTCTAGACTTGATTAGCAGGTAGTGTTTTTTCAACATTGTTAATCAGGCCCACACTCTCAGTGACCTACCAGAAGAGTACTTTTTAACCTGCTTGTTCCATTCCTCCCTGGTCTTTTTTCCAGTCAGCGGGAAGGAAATAAATCTTTTTCCAAAACATTTCACAGACCTTGCTGGAGCACCTCCCCCCCCAATGAAGTCAGCCAGCAGCAGGTTCAACAAACTTTGAAAAAGCCTGGAGAACAATTAAATTTTTTAAAAAAGAGGATTGTTTGTATTCATTCTTTGGTGAACAGTAGAGGGAATGGGACGAAATGAGTCCTTTATTTTTCTTTTTTAAAGAATACCTAATAGTTATTTTACCAGGTGTCAAGAAGAGAATGAATACTTTTTCTTTTCTTCTTAAAGGCATGGAAGAGTGCACATGTACTGTATGAGAGGGTTAGAGACAGAGAATGTGCAAGCAAGTCAATGTGGATTGGAGTTATGAAAATGATTCTGGCAAATCATATTGGTGTAAATCTCATTCATCAGTTCTCCTTCTCGTAGGCCTCGGATATGTTAGGACAGGCTGACAATCTACCACTCATGGGCTACATCCCATTTGCAGCAACACCATACCCCACTCTGCAGCAACACAACACCTTGCACTTATAATTGTTTGCAAAACAATTATAAAAGTTCAGGTAAAAACAGAAATGTTGGCCTCTCATTTCCATTTCCACCCTTAACCTCCCACACCCATCCTCAAAATGGCTTAGAATTGTGCCATCAATATTATATCATTTTGTCACCAAATTTCAGCAGTTTGATTCAGACTCCATTTGGTAAGTTGGAAGTTTCTTTAATGTGTGAATGGGAAGGGTTTCCTTCTAGAACCAGCAGTGTGGTGCAGCTGCCAAAAAAGCCAAAGCAGTCCTAGGTTGCATCAACAGAGGGATAATATCAGGATCATGTGAAGTGTTAGCACCACTAACCTTACCAAAAGTGTGGTCTTTTGGTAAGACCACACTTAGGAATATTGAACTTAGTTTTGGTCACCATGATACAAAAAAAAATGTTGAACTCTAGGAAAAAGTGCAGAGAAGAGCAACAAAGATGATTAGGGGACTGGAGGCTAGCATATGAAGAATGGTTGCAGGAACTGGTATATCTAGTTTAACAAAGAGAAGGATGAGGGGTGACATGATAGCAGTCTTCCAACATTTGAGAGTCTGTCATAGAGAAGAGGGGGTCAACTTCTCCAAAGCACTTGAGGGCAGGACAAGAAGTAACAGATGGAAATTTATTAAGGAGAGATCCTGAATGGTATAGGATCACCTGCTTGAACAGACGATTGGACTAGAAGACCTCCAAGGTCCCTTCCAAGTCTGTTATTCTGTATTCAGATACTTGCATTCCTGCTTGTAACTCTCAGCACCAAAAAAAAGAGAGGGGGAAAACCTAACTAAGAAATAATAAAAAAAAACCAATGGGAAACCCAGTCTTTGCTGCAACTTCACCAACTTTTCCATGATGTCACTTGCAGCACTCTATCTCCCTACTGAAAAATGGCCCCTGATCTTTTGAAACTTGGTCATGCATGTTTTAGGAGAATCCAAGTTTCCCCGCCTCCATCCTGCAGCCTTTTATATCCTTGGCTAAAATGCTTGCCAAATCTTCCTTTTAATTCTAATCCCATAAAGCAGATAAAAATTCTGTGGTTCATGAAATTATTTTCAAAAGCCTTCTGCAAGTAATCAAGTCAAGCCTTTGGCAAGACTGCTACTTTCCTCCCTTAGCAGCTTACTTTGGAAAAAGAAACAGAGGGAGAGAAGAAAGAAGAGCTGATCTATTATTTAGCTTGCCCATTATCAGCATGGGGCTCCAAAAAGAAAAATTGCAGACCTCTACAAATATTAAAAGGAGGCCAGCTATCCAAAGTTCTTTAGCCAAGAGGCTTCCAAGACTTGGAAAAATAGTCATGGCCATGACACTCATACCAATATGGCAGCCCTCATTCCCTATTCAACCAATGACTGGCACCAACTTGTTGGTCATTCAGATTTCTTGCCACTCCGATGCTGAACAAACTTGTTGCAATTGACAAGATTAATGTTGACAGACTTTGGGGAAAGCTGCTATTTCTGATTATTGCTCTTTCTGATTATTGTGTAACATAACCAATACTATGTAAGCAGGAAGCTGCTCTTTTGGCTTTGTTTTGGATGTGAGTAAATTAAATTTCCCATCACAATAAATTTCTTGTTCAACAGAAAGGAAAGAAAAGCAAAACTTGTCCATTTCTTATGTGCATGGTGTCTGTAACAGCTGCATTTAAGATTTCCATCTTTATTGGAGTACACTAATCATAAATGAGCATTCCATGTAAGTAGCTGTAACTTTCTGACTATTATAAATTTTAATCCACTTCTGATTCAAAGCAAACAAATGATGGGTAACAGCTGTCAAACAAAGGACAAATCATATGTTCCTAATTCTTATCCCTTAGCTTTGGTTCATTCCAGCATAGACCCATCGGATCACTTGCAACAAACACCTAATTAATTCAACATGCATTTAACCCCATAAAGCTAAAAAGAAATGGAGGGCATTTTTAATGTTTGCCTCTTGAATTATCTTCTTTAGCCTTTAATCTACTGTTTTTCTTGAATATTACCTTACAGAAATGGACCATTAACCCTACATCTAAAACCATAGGTTTCAATTATGATTAATTGTTGCTCATCTACGTGGTTCTCCACTTTTATGCCTTCATTTAAAGAATATTTCTAGGCTTGCTCTGAAATTGCTTGTCCAGAGGAATCTACCCAAACAATCAACGCAACAGCTTTTCTGAAATCACCTATGCACAAAGTAATTATTTCCTGAAGATGCTGCACAGTAAGGAATGGCAGCATTCCCATTGCTTATACTAAGATCCATGGCTGCTATGCTGCTAGGCCAATAGATGCACCACTTAAGGGTAGCAGAAATGCTTTTTATATTTCTGTCTAAAACAGCATATTAATATGTCCAGTTTTCAGCTAGAGACATGGATCTGAGGCAGCAAGTGTAATTTGTAGTTCCATTTCCAGCAGCCCAAAGCTTCATGCTGAGATGAGACTAATCCAACAAGACACCATTTCAAGATGTAATTGTTATGTAACAGTGCATGACGTGCCAACACATTCCAAGAGTCCTACAGTGCCAGAGTATTGTGCCAATTGTCAGAATTTAAGCATGTTGTTCAGGAACAAAATCAAAGAAAAGTGTAAGGAGTAATACAGTAAAACACTTACACTCACATTGTTATGCCTCCAAGCAAGGGGCCTTTTCAAACGTTGATGGGAGGAAATTCATTCAATTATTTTTGTTCGATATATTATTTTTACTATTTGACACATGTGTGGATGTATATGACAGCTTTCATGATGCATTACAAATGTTATGTTCTTATTGCTGTCTTATACACACATTGTATTGTTTGTTGTTAGAAAGAAAAGACTTAACATCCTTTTTACAGGAAAGAATACATTAACAAAGAACAACATTAATATAAAAATGTATTTTCAAAACAATAAAACCAGAAGCTGAAAAAAGTCAGAACCAAATATTGTACTTCAGCTGCTTTAGTACACTGTAGCAACATAAGGACTTAAAAATTTAAAGGTCATTATATAGAAAGAGTGATGATGATGATATATTTGCTAAAATCAGAGTTGAATGTTCAAACTCCTTTGGATTGCGATCTTTTATTTTGAATTTGTTTGTTTTTCATTTTGCAAAGTTGAATTTTATCTAATGAAACGATCCATTTGGGGGCAATATTTCATATGAAACAAGACAAAATCCACATGTTGTTCCAGAAATAAATTTCAGATCCTTCCTTCCATATGAATTTAACAATAAAACTTAGTTCATTTGTATAACTATATTAAACAAAAAGTCAGATGTCATCTGCAATTAAGAAAAGGAAACTGGGTACAGAGAAAAAGTTTTTTGAAAACATTTAAGTGAAGAGAACCCAAGAAAGAATGGAAGCAAGGCTATGTCTTCCTAAAAGAGTAGAGAGAATTAAATTTAGGTTTTGAGATAAACTACCTTGTAAACATAATAGCTGCTTTTAGTAACAAATTGTTTAATTTACTTGCAATACAGGCTGCATTGTGTATGGGTTTATGCTTATTGGGAAGCAGAGCTCCCTTGAGACCCATCTAGAATCTTAAAATTTGAAAGTGAAGGAAGAAAGTTACCTGGTGGCGTTTCCAGAGTTGATTTATCCTTTCTTGGTTTGATAATTTTCTTCGATTTGAATTCTTTCTTGCCTGGTTTGAATTTTGGAGATTCCTCTATTTCTGCAGAAGGTTTCAAGTCTTTTTCTCTTGGTTGCTCTGTGAAAGGTGACAACTCCTCATTGGGATCAGGATAAGAATAATAATGATTCCTATTGATGATTTCTTGTAGATAATAGTCCTGGTCCTCCATGGGAAGAGCCCACGTGATAAAGCCAAGCAGTACCAGATAACAAAAAACAAGGTAGAAGCGAAGAAAAGATATCTTCTTGACAATGGGAATCATTTTCCTCATGTTTATATTGAGCTAAAACAATGTAGCCCTGCAGTTTTCCAGACTAAATTTAAGTGGAAAGACAGATAAAAGCAAATGAGGAGAGAGAGAGAAAAGAAAGAAAGAAAGAAAGAAAGAAAGAAAGAAAGAAAGAAAGAAAGAAAGAAAGAAAGAAAAAAGAGAAAAAGAGAAAAAGAAAGAAAGAACTTATTTGCTAGTGAAATCCAAGATGAAGAGTAAAGCTGGTGTTAGAGCTTCTGCTTGGGAATAGTTTGTAAAAGTTGCAACTAATGAAATAGGAGTGTGGAGTGGAAGCAGAGGGAGGAGGAAACAGCTTCAGTTCATGTGATCAACAGAGCTTAAGAGTCAAACACATATGCAGGCATATAGGAAAAGAGACATACTTGACAGGTGTGATTTTTCCATTCCAAGCTTTTTTACAGAGATTGTTTTTCTCCTCCCTTTTGTCCTCCTACTCCCCATTAAATATTGAATTCAACTCATGGCTCCTAAGACTCTGTGTCTTTGAATGCTGCTATAATACTGAGTCTGGACATTGTTTATTCAATAAAGTAGGGGATGGGCAGAAAGTGAGTTGGCCACAAGCCTTGGTATCCAATTCCTTTTAAAAATTACATCCTTTGTCTTGCCCGGATTGTGTACACTGTAATGTGTTTAGATGAAACTGTAGAAGAAAGGAAAAAATGTTTTCTCCTCTGGTGCAGCCGGAATCCTCAGCAGAACATGAAGGGTGCATTCTTGTTCTAGAAAACAGGAAAGCAGACTCATGAAAATGCCTATTATTCTTCAAGCATTTGATAGAAAACAGGTGCAGATCATCAACAGCACAGAAAAGTGGTATTTTTCATTTGTACAGTCTGTCCCTTTAACATCTGAGAGAGACTAATATTGTGTCTGTGCCCACAATAAACAGAGAATAAGCACTATTGCTTTTTAGTAGAAATGCATAGGAGCATATTGTAAAGGCTCCCCAAAGTGCAACCCTACCTCACTGCGATGGGGGGTGGTAGTGAACAGTATAAGCCTATTATACTGGCCCTCATGGCTCTGGCCTGGTGAAAGACCTGGCAACCTACTCCAGTTTTTCCCACCAAAAGCCTTTATGGACCAATTCAAAGATGTGGAGGATATGGTACTAAGCAGTGTGTTCCCTGGCTGGGAGGTACCAAGAATATACAAGTCAGAATACAGATCGACAATGAGACTATTGGAACAGTAAGGGAATTCATTTCCTGGGGTCTACAATTGACCAAAGTGGTAACTGCAGCCCTGAGATCAGTAGAGGCCCCCAACATTTTGGGCACCAGGCACTGGTTTTGTGGAGAGAGGTTTTTCCATGGACCGGAGGGGGTGTGGTTTCATATGCTGCCTGCATCCCATGGATGGGGCTTTACTTGTTTGAGCGGCCCAGTTTCTGGCATGCCGCAGACTAGTGATGGTCCATGGACCAGGGGTTGGGGAGCCCCGGTATATAACATTTAGAAGAACTGCAATGTCTGGCATAAATAACATCTGAAAGAGCAAGGACATCAGCCTCACAACCAAAGGCAGATTACTTAACGCAATAATTTTTCCAATTGCTACTTATGGCTGCGAAACATGGACTCTTGAAAAGGCAGATAGGAGAAGAGTGGACGCCTTTGAACTGTGGTACTGGAGGCGACTATTATGCATGCCATGGACTGCAAAAATAACAAAGAAGTCCTAGACCGAACCTCACCAAAAATACCACTTGAAGCCAAGATCGTCAAACAGAGGCTCTCAGATTTTGGTCATGTCATAAAAACTGACTCACTCAAAAAGTCAATCATTCTGGGAATGGTCAGCAGAAAAAGGAAAAGGGGCCATCCAGCACCTGCTGGCTGGACACTATAAAAATGACACTGGGATGACCATGGCATAGAGTGGCCGTGGGTTGGACACAACTGAATGGCTGACATTGTAAAGGATTAACAGTCAAGATACTAGACACCTTTAAATAGTATTTTACCTATGTAGATTCCATATTTTGTCCTATTTATGTTTATAGAACTAAGCCAATATGTTTGCTAAGTTGTTTTGCTCAAAGGGATTCTTATATTTTTATTCTTTTTTAATTCCTCTTTGTAGTTTAGAAGTCCATGAAATGAGAAACATTCTGTTTTGAGAGTGGAACAAAAGAGCTTCACCTGTAATTTCACATCAGAATGACTATATCTCAAAACAAATTCAGTGGTACAAAACTGAACAAGTTCAAAGTTATTTAGATTATAAAATGTTAAGGAATCGATTGGAACTCGGAACAAGCCCCCTGCTCCTTTGATTTTCATTTTCAAAAAGCCACAAGAGTATGTGATGCAGTTGTCTATGACTACTGACTGCGACTCAACCTGCATAAAAAATAATCAAAAGAAATATTTTTAATTCTTTATGGAGTTTGTATTAATATTTTCAACTCAATACTACCTTCTAAACAAGTGCAACATTTTTCTTTTTGATTGTTTTTGTTGTCTTCCTGTATTACAGATCTAAAACCAGAATAAAAGCTGGATTCTGCTTCTTTATTCTTAATAATACTAACAGCATATACCCCAGCACACTCATACACATCATCATATATATCTGATATCTATACAAGTCAGAAAAAGAACTGCGTTTAAATGGACTCCAAGGCTCAATGTAACAGAGGAAAAGAACACAAAAATCTCCAGAAAGCAACCTAAGCAAACACAGAAATATTTGCAATTTTAAAAATCATTCTAAACAGGACACAAGAGTATGCACAAACACCAATGTTTAGCAAATCAACCCAAATACTCAACAAACAGGTAGTCCTCAACTTACAACAGTTCATTTAGTGACTATTTAAAGCTACAACAGCACTGAAAAAGTGACTTATGACCATTTTTTCACACAACTGTTGCAGCATCCTTGTGGCCACATGATCAAAATTTGGACACTTGCCAACTGACCCATATTTGTGACGGTTGCAGTGTCCTGGGGTCATGTGATCTCATTTTGTGACTTTAAGTAGCTACATACATGTGCCTTATTTATAGGGGCCTAGGAAGAAAGACAAAACAAAGTGAAATTAGCAATCTCTTGAAAAGTAGGCAGAAAGCTAGACAGAGGGGACACAGATTAAATCCTACTGCTTCCTTATAGTTATAACAACAACAACAACAACAACAACAATAATAATAATAATAATAATAATAATAATAATAATAATAATAATAATAATAATAATAAAGTTGGAAGGGACCTTGGAGGTCATCTAGTCCATGGCTTTTCAACCGGTAGTGGTACTTTGGCACCTGGCAGGTGGTATGCGACTGTCCTAGACAAGTGTAGTGGAAGAGGGGAATGAACTGAAGCAATGGCAGCACCACACAAGCCTGAGGAGAGACAGCTGGAGCTGCAGGGGTGTTGGGGCTTGGCAGAAGCTCCATGCACGCAGCTACAGCTGGTTGGCACTTCTGCAGGGCTATAGGGAATGAGCAGAAGCCCAGGATTGGCATGCGCTTCTGCAGTGTTATGGGGGCGAGACAGAAGCCCCAGGATTGGCGTGCACAGCTACAGCTGATCGGCACTTCTGCAGGGCTATGGGGAATGGGCAGAAGCCCAGGATTGGTGAATGCTTCTGCAGGGCTATGGGGGCGAGACAGAAGCCCAGGATCTGCGCTTCCAGTGCACCCGGAAGAGAAAAGGAGGAGGGGGGAGAGAGAGGAGAAGCTATAAAAGGAGAAGGTTTGGGCCGGAGAGGGAGAGAGAAAAAAGAGAAGGGGACTGCAAAAGAGAGATGGAGAAGTGCAGCCTTGAGAGGAATCAGCTGGAAATGCACGAAAATGAAAAGGAGGAGGGGGGAGAGAAGAGAGGATATAAAATAAGGGAAGAGAAGAGAGGATATAAAAGAAGGGAAGGGAAGAGGATATAAAAGGGAAGAGAAGAGAGGATACAAAGGAAGGGAAGAGAAGAAGGGGAGAAAAGAGAGGATAAAAGGGGGAAGAGAAGAGAGGATATAAAAGGAGGGAGGAGAGAAGAGAGGCTATAAAAGGAGGAATGAATCTGGTTTCAAAAGGGGATCACATGATCCTGGGATACTGTGACCATCATAAATATGATGTCAGGATAGTTAAAGTCCTCCATTACTATTGTGATGTGCTTCCTACATATCTTAGTTAGCTGACTAGCAAAAAGTTCATCTATTTCCTCTGTTTGGTTGGGTGGTTGGGTATACACCTATCGCAATGTCATTTTCCCCCTTTTATATTGACCCAAATGCATTAGAGACAGTTTTCATCATTGTGCTCTATTTCTGTACAGATGTAGTTATTCCTTACATGTAGAGCAACTCCACCTCCTCTTTTATTTGGTCTGTTTCTTTTAAATAATTTAAATCCCTGTAGCTGTGTGTTCCGTTTGTGGGTGTCATCCCACCAAGTTTCCGTAATGGCAACAATATCATATCTGCCCTCACTTCATCTTTTACTAAGCCCCTTCTGCTTTGCCTAATACACAGTGGAATTTTATAGACTTGTCCATGCTGTGGCAGTTGTTTCTCCAGATTGCTAAATAAATAGAAGATGTACACTCACTAAATTCAATGGATCACTTTTTCTCTTTAATGGAATTAATAATTGTTGCAGGATCAATACAGATGCTGTTTGGTGAGTCTATTTGCTCTGATACTTATTGTTCTATTTACTTTTCTGGCCTTTTTCATGGGACTGAAGTTAATCATGGAATGCAGTCTAACCATTAGTCTTGCCTCTTTTTCCTAATCCAATGGAGTTGCAAGGGACCTAATCTACTGCAAATACAAAATACTTTATTTTTGCCTGGTTTTACAGTCAGATTCTTGACTGAGAACTGCATCTTGCCCATTATAGTTATGCAGATTATAGTTTTCTAAGTGATTTACCATGAAATTAATACCTGCATTCATTTTTCACATCTACTGCATGTACCATAGCAATGGTAGTGAATTTAAAATGAAAACAACCAATTGCCCTTCCATTATAGGCATTTTTTCTCCTTTTAAGCTGACTT